AAAGTATAAAAAAACTTAGAATATAGTATTTGAAAAATGTTGCAGTTTTTTTTTAATTGATACGCTGTAAATCTTGTTATTTTATATTTACAACATTGAGCTTGAAACAAGTAGATAAATGAAGCAATTATAGCTAAAAATTTATGCTTTTGAATTACAAATCCAAAGATTGATATAACAAGCTTTGTAACTTTTTAAATAAGTGAGTTTAATAATATTAATACTTTCAGACAAAAATTAAATTAATTGCAAATATTCATCTTTTAAAATGAGACAAATGATGCAAAAAAGCTCTTTTAAAATAGTCATTATTATATTTCCATTTAGTTTATTCATATATTTACTTTAATTGTTTCTAATATCGAATCATTGTTAAGATTTATCCGAGTGTTTCATGTCAGCTATCTATAACTAGCTCATAGCCAATGAGCTTCATTTCTTGTTCGTGGATGTAGCCGTATGTGGTGAATCGCGTTACATATGATGTTTCATGTTTATTCGTTATTTGACGTGAATTTCCCGTCACTTGTATTTATTGATTCTTGGTTTAAGAGCTAATAATGATCTTATTACTTCTTTTGTTGAATTGTTGAGTTTTAAAAATCAAAGGTTGTTGTATTTGTCAATATTCAAATGATTGATACAGTTAAATTTATTTAAAAACAAATAAGTCAATAATTTTTATGATAAAACACAAGATTCATAACAAATTTTTTACATATAATAAAAGCTTATTATCTGATTTAGATAAAATTTATTTAAAACTTAGATTCAAATTAATGTTGAAATTTCAATGTTTGAGAATCGTATTTGAGTAGTAAATAATAACATGTAAATCTTATAATTAAATGTTTATTTTATTGAAAAATCATATTTTTTATGATTTATATAAACTTCGTGGTTTTTTTTTTCCGCAAAATATATATCTCACAAATCTGAAATTTCAAAAAGATCATGTCATGATCAAATTTACAAAAAACATGTTTTGATATAAAGAAATACACTTAATTAAGTGGAAGTTGAGGCAAAGAGTATCTAATCTTATCTATCATCAAATCATATACTTACTATAGTTAGAATTTGATTTTGATGTTCATTATAAAGCTGAGCTACTAAAAAATATTCAATCTGAATCATATACATGAATAAAGAAATAAACGTATAGTATTGTAAGAATACACATACTATTAAAAAAATTGTTGATGCAATGATTAGTAAATATTCTTTGAAATATATGTGATTTAATAAACTCTGTTTAGATGATAACAATCTTGTCATAGCATACAAATATTATATAAGATTCTTAAATCAAATTGAAGTAAATTAGTTTTCATGATCATATAGTAATTTTTGTACATTTTCCTATATGTTATTGAAATTAATACTTTTAGTATTAAAACGTTAGTTATTCAACTTCAAATCATTTCTAGAAATCTGGCAAATAAGCTATAGAATATTGAGTTTTTAACATTGTGAGACATGCCAATTGAATGTCGTTAAAGAGGGCATTTTTTTATTTGGTGTTTGTTACATAAGATTTTATTTCAAATACAAATTTAGCTTATAAGGGATGATCTCAAAATATCACACGTATTTTGACGGGCACTCAAGTAGAACAAGAAGCGGGCCGCCTACATGTCTGTATTCAGAGAAGCCGGATTAGCATTTGGAGATGCAAAAGTTGGTCGACTCTTTTTATGTGGCTCTCCTCTAGCAGGTAACGTGCTCTATAACCTCTCATCTTTTTGAAGTAGCAATCTAAGGTTTTACGTTTCAAATTTAAGATTAAATTATGAAGTTTAGTTATGAAATTAGATGTATTTGGATTTGTGTGAAAAATAAAACGGAAATATAAGAAGAGAAAAGTCAAATACTACTGATTTCAAATCTGAATAAGATATTTTTCAAAAGATTCAAATTTAATTTGAAATTCAATTTTTTTTCCATTCTTGTTTATCATACTTAAAGAATATGGTATCAAGTAATCTGAAAAAATCTCTGAAGTAACAATTTATATATTTGTTGTGGTTATGTGTATTCAATTTATAGGCAAGACTCAATTAAGTCAAACACTGATTCATGGCAAAAGTTGGCTCGAAAAGCAATGCGACAAAATCATGCGGAGGACTGAAGGAATTGAAGTGACTTCTTGCGAAACATTGAAGAAAGACAAATCTCAATTTGGGATCTTGCGGGACAAGATATTTTCCGTAAACTTCAAAGTGTGCTCTTTCCTCGAGCTAGCAATTTTTGTTTTGTTTTTTTTTTATTAGACTCTTTTTTCAGGATCAAGAAAAATTCAAAGAAGAATCTTGTCTTGAAAGAAAGTTGGAGGAATGGTTGAGTTTCATCACATCGTGCACTAGGATTACAGAACATACTATTCCACAAGTTCTTGTTGTGATTTCACACAAGGATAAAGTCAGATTTGAATCTTTGATTTGGGCTCAAGACATAGTGAAAAAACTCATAGGGATTGGAATTAATTACGTGAGAATTGAAATCTATAGCTCTGGATTGTATATTGTCTATTGCACATTACGAAATAAACATACTCTCAGTTAGATTAACACAAAATATTTTTTATTTTAGTAGACCTACTTATTGGGAAAAGATTAATATTTTGTACAAATAAAACTACAAAGAAAGATTTTATTGCCATTAAACATGAGAGATTTGCTTGATGGTACCCTTGCGAAATGTAATTTGCTTGATGGGACACTTCAGGTTTAGTTTTACCCGATGGGAACCCAACGATTGTGTGCCGTCGGCCATAGTTCTTGTAACTATGATTGATAGTTACAATACGGGGATTACAATCAGAGATCAATCCCTCATTATAATTTCTAGTGGATTATCGCAGGGACAAAGGTCTATTTTGCCCGAAGTGCAATTTGTTGTGCTTCAATTCTCCCAATCGCACCGATTCGTTGATTTCTCTACTGCCTCCCGCCTACACCCTCCTTCCGTAACCCTGCGTATGCGACGAGTAGCTCGTACCAGAAAGTGATCAGAGCTCAAGTCTCGCGCTCAAATAAACTCCGGATGAACATTTCTTTACTCATCACCTGGTGGAGTGGCCGGATACATAATGACAAAATAAAAACAAGTGAGTGTGATGGAGGGCGAAGTTCACTCTGTCCGCGGGTGTACTTGACTCGTTGCACTCTCTTTAAAACTCAAGTCGTTATAAGAACATGGGTGATGGTGCATCGTTAGTGGTGTCCCATCAACCAAATTACTTTTCGCAGGGGTTTCATCAAGCAAATCTCTCCATTAAACATCTACCATTCTCGTAGGCTACTTTCTTTAGATTGTGTAAATCAGGTTCAAGCATATATTTTGGTTATTTAAAAACTTAAAAATAAGCTTTAGAAACTACTTTAAAAATTGACACGAACTATGTATCAATGTTGTGAGAGATATGAACAACTATTCTTTAGTTGCAGTGACTTTTGTGCCATTTGTTACTGTTTACTACAAACACTTACGAATATTCTACTCGATTATATCTAATATTTCCATATGTATTTATTTAATTCACCCAAGAATTAAAAATTATCCATTAACAAACATGTTAAAACCGAACTACCATAATATGAATTGCAAAGTACAGCCCATAGCGGACAACCCACCTCAGATTTCTTCACATTAGCAACCTGGAATAATTAGAATTCGTAGACCACTCTAATCTATGATAAGCCTATAATTCTTTGTCTGGCTTAATATAAATGAACCCAGATAAACATGATCGTGATGAGAACAACCCCAACCAAAAGTACACATGTACCAAAAGTCTATCTACTAACCAGCTAAGATAACATTCTAGAATAAATGTTAATCGAATACTCTATGCTAGCACCGTGCAGGATTGGAACTTGTAATGATGATTTTCACTTCAAGGACTCGGGGTTGAAGACACAACACACCTTATCTATAATCATTCATACATTCCTTGCGCCACTTAGGGTTCAGAAGCCCGATGCCGCACTTTCCCTTACTGTCTAAGGGATGAGGTCATGGGTGTAGCCTGTCTGGCACATGCTCAACGCGTTAGGACCACAGCAACACACTATTTACCTTGTACGTTTGACCGTCATTATACAACATAACCATCAGCATACCTCGCCTCGAAACCCGTGGCCTTACCCAAAAGATAACTTACAACAGCTAATCTAGAAGCCACTGCGAATACCGTGAAATTACCCCAACGTTCGGTCTGGCGGACTCTGGCCCTCCCGCCATATCGAAGGCGCTTCGAATACGCAGCTGGAATTATGACGGAGGCAGGCGCCATGATCACGGTGCGTACACTGGATTGTTGAACCTTCACCGCTGTGGCCTTGAGTGACAGACAGATGCGCCTGTTTACAGCGACGAAGACTGCCCAAAGTGGTAGAGGGCCTGCTGGCGACCGGTTCTTCGGGATGCAAGCTCTTGTGGAAATGTTCGGGTCCTCAAGGTCAACAACCTGAAGGTGCCTTTTGACCGGGGAAAGGAGGATATTCCGACAGAAAGTTCGCGAACCTGTTCCGGGGTCTCGTTTGCCTATTCGGTCTAGGCTCTAACACTTCGCAGCTTTCGCTTCGCTTAAGATTGACATGTACGTCTGGTTGATGCGGCGTCTTCCTTTCGCACGTGAAAGTATTACCGCCAGGGCGAGAGTTCAATTTCTTGAGAGGCACTAATTCGGAAAATGATATCACACATAGCTTTGCGTGTGAAGCCGGGAAAATATGGACACCCGTGGTGGGTCTACTACTGGTCACACCAGTCAATAGCCACACAGGTTAATAACTGTTTACAACCCGAGATATCACCTTCAGCCGACTTGCCGGCGCGCACTTCAGCAGATATGTCTCTCTTGCAGGAGACATTTTTCTCTGTGTGAAGGTCAGAGTTTGAGAGTGCAGCGCTTCATCTTCGCTACGGTGAACAACTTACTGCAACCGACAAAATTTGAAGAGACAATAATTTCAGACAGATCAACGTGACCTCCGTGTACGACGTAAACAAGATGATCAATTCCATGACCATTACAAACCAACTATGGTTACAGATTTTCAGCCCACACTAACTCTCCAAGGCCCTAGTCTCACAGGGGCGAGTCTTTAGTGTGAGACCCGCCTTACAACAGTGAGAACATAAGGGACATTGAACATATCAAAAAGTGATCTAGTCGTAACTGGTTCAGGTACTCCAGCGTGGAGCACCGACCTTTGTCTCCGAAGGTCCCGAAGGCAGATGTGGGACTCCACAGGTCCTCAGTAGAAGCTGCCTTGTTGGAAGAAACTTACACTCGTGAAACCTCGACACGTGAGACAGAGACCCTCTTCCGATGTAGACTTTAGGTCAAAATGGATGTGACTAATATGGAACAGAGAACCGAATCTGGTAATGTGACTACATCAGGCGTATGGTGGATCGATGAAAGCCCAGTTGAACACCTGCTCATACTGCAACGCTGCTCTATCCCAAGAGAAGTCCTGCGACATACCCCTTTCCATGATACCGTTCCACTCCGCCTTATGGTGTCGGTAAGTGCCAATCGCGTTCCACATAGCCTGATGAACAATACAATCTGTCAGAATTTTCTGAAGGTGCTCTCTAGAATATCGGCGAAGTTAGTGCCGGTGGATCAAGGACAACAACAGTTCAGTAAGACCAGTAAAACTGGACACATATGAGCAATATATTTAGGGTATATCGATTTGAGAAACAGATATTGCCCATTGCATTCTTTTGTTAGTAGTCATGGGTTTGTTCGCTATTCTGCTCGAGTTCCTTACAAGGACACTGTTACCTTCTTTCTCTACTTATAAAACTTCTAGCCCAGATACGAAGGTGAGTGGACAAAGAATGTAATAAATGTAAACATACCCCCATCATTGCGTCCTTGGTCAGCGGAGAGAAGGTCCATCTGGAATGAAGGTAAGTATCAGTCTATGCTCGAGAACCAGAAACCGATCTAAACATTCCGTCTATTCTGATTCACATGTCTATAACAGGCATATACTGATGCTTGAAGTTAATTCACGTGTCTAAGTACAATCCGAACGAAAACAATCCACGGTTCAGCTTGAAAAGACTCAGCCGTTCTTACCCAGTGCCCGCACCCTGCCCGCCATGTGCAATTGGGTTGTAGTTCTCTACAGTATCCTGGACATAGAAAAACAACACAGATTAGCCTCATCACTAAAGAAGAATGTAACATTTCTCCTTGACTTACTCAATTATCAAGATGCCCAAAAAATGAAACACTACTTTACGCGTTTTTTAACTGGGTGAAGTGCTTTCTTGTCCGTTTGAACCACTGCACACATGTAATACTAAGCTATCGGGGTAGTTACAAAAAGGTAAGAGAGGTCAAGTGTTTGTAACAAATTTCGATATTTTTGTTCTCATATCAAGACGATAATTTAAATGCAAGGTAGGATGTAAGAAGGACTAACCCTCAGGCCTCCAGTACAATGGACAACCGGAACAGTCCCGTACATCATGGCATAAAGCTGATTCAAACCACAAGGCTCAAACCGCGATGGCATAAGAAGAATATCGCACCTGTGTGGACAACATGAAGATAAATCAATCAACAACACATTAAAATCTGGAACTCAAAGTGTGCTATCCCCTCCGGGTGGGCATATACCTCCTGTCAAAATGTTAACGTATTAAACTTAAACATGTACTGTACCCTCCTAGTAAGATTGACTCACCTGTCCAGAATTCATCATTTTTCTGTGTTAAACTTATCATGTTCTATGCTTCATAATTCTTGTTTCGTGAGTATTAGCAAAAACCTCAGTCAACTTAAGTCAACGACAACTTAAGTACTTTTAAAGACAAGAAGTTGTGTTGAGGAGGAGAGAGAAAATAATTTCGACTTTATACTACTAACAATCCTGGAAGAAAAAAATGTTACCCGGCAGTAATACGATGAGCAACAGGGACGCTAAATCCGACCCAGCCCCTGAATTTCTCTGGGTAACTAGCTTCTGCTCCGGCCATCCATTTCTCAACATCTGGGTAACCGCTGCCGAGCATCACCTACAACAGCGTCCAACGCCAGAATATTAGTGTTGCAAGGACAGACGATCATGTTCAACAGAGATGCAAACAATTGCCAACCCAAAAAATGATCTTAAAGTAAACACCATTAGTTTGAAACCAAGAAATTACTTCACAATTGATATTTCCATTCAGTTTATAATGAGTAAGTGATATGTGGTGATGGCTGCGACATATATTTCCCTGTGCCGTTTTACAACCAGGTACTGATAAGTATAAACACGATGTGTGTTATTAGATCTTCATCATAAATTCTCTCAGCATCTACGTCTTGAAGGAAAGGTCGATGAAAGAGAATTATAGAGAGCCATATTCATAAACTACAAATAAAACAGTTTCTCAGAAGGGCTGTATAGACTTGCATTGTATAAATCCTAGATATGACGTATCATTCAGGGAATCTACCAATAGTTCCAGATTATGTACTCTATAGGTTGTAGAAACATTCAACCGACGAACGAAGCAGATAACCTCGGTGCTAGTCATAGATACCACAAATAACAAAATATTTCTCACCGAGAGTTAATTCCCAGTCCTATATGAACATCTCCCAGCCGGCTAGTTACAACAAACGAGAATTCCATCCCAACACAAGGATAGATCAACTACTTAAACTAATCGAAGGGACGGACAAATTTTGTTCAGCAAATATAAACCGCATACACGACCAAAACTTCTCCTTGGGCAATAGAAACAGGACCTATAGGTCTGAATTTCAAGGTTTGGAACTTACCATCTGAACATCATCGGTCATCAACTCTGGAAGACCAGCCTGGATGATGTCAGGACCTTTTTGATAGTCCAGCCGCCCAATGAATCCAATCTTTAGCAACAGACGTCCACCGTATTAGTTTCCAACTGATTAGAATGATACTAGGTTCACCAATATAAAATGATCTGCAATACTCTACAACTTACGAGAGGAACATCTGGTCGAACAGGTAACCCCAGCTCTTTTTGCAACGCAGCCTTGCACTCGGCCTACATAAAATCACCATTTACAAAAACATATCAGTAAACTTAACAAACCTTTTGACATAGATACAATGAAGTTGAGACATCTGATCACCTTGCTCATCATGCACGTCATCAACAGCGAGATGATATTACAAACTATTAAAAGCAAAAATAAAAACATACGTCTTCCAGATTTAGCTCGACATAACTTGGTATGAGAAATTTAAATCTATGAGGAAGACAAGCTTCAAATTATGTACCTTTCCACTAATGTCATCCAACGAATACTGTGAAGCAAGATATTTGTCTGTGGCTGGATTCCACTCCTCAATATCAATTCCATTGGTAATACCTGGCATAGACCATGAGCAAGTCCGACTTCAATTGCATATGTATATAAGCTTTGTCATCTCAGACCGTGAAAACATTAACATTGGGACATTGAGTAAGAGTTCCAATACATGTCACGGGCTGAGAACTATAACCCCCGCACCATGGTTGAGCAATGCAAAACCTTTACAGTAGCAGTATAACGGAAGCTTTCGGTGCCTCAGATATTACATTGTAGTGATGCATTAATCAGGCGTAAGTTCAAGTAAAGTGGTTACCATTAATGACTGCACTTCTGCTTCTTAGAAGTTCATCAAGTCCCCATCCACCTTCCTTGGTAGTGATTTCCCACGCGTAGCCCTATACCATAATACATATTGAATAGATTAGAAACAAGTTAAAGGAGTAGAGTGCTTCTTAATACACCCCGATTCTGTCAACTCCTTTACGGTCACACAATGAAGCCTCATGTAGGAATGTATTCAAGCTTCGAAGGTAAGGTGTATGCCGACATGGTTAAAAGCCAACTTATTTGTCTTAAGTTGAAGTACATACTTCATACACGGATCATACCTGGCTTACGGTCAATATGCGGTCAGATGTTACAACGGCTCCTTTCAGATGATTAACAGCTTCGCCCTTATCAAGAGCGTGCAGCCTAGCCCATTGTGGGAATACCCACTCAAGGGCTCCGTACCAATCTGGGGGAAGACCAAGATTTTGATATGTGGTTCCCGCCTCAACACCCTACAAGTGCCACCCGTCAGAAAATTAAGTCACCTTGGACTCTGACAGTAAGGACTCTGACAGTAAAAAGAAATTATTCGTCATTTACTCAACGGACCGAAATGTGATACGTGGACAATACGGATAAAACTCTGAAGCATATTGCAGAATCAATCTTTTGGTGTTTCTAAAGAAACAAACACAGTTGAAATACACAAGGCTGCAACTGAGAAACCGAGTTTCCATCCTTGTTTGTTAAAAAAGATGTAGACAGCTGCAACAAGGATAATAACCACAGTTTCACAAGAAATATATTTTAGGAGAATATTAGGCAGATGCAAGCACTCGCAATGAAGAAGACACGACCGGAGTTAATACATATGAATGCGAAGTTGGTCGTACCTGATGTGCAAGATTATGAATAGCTAGAATGCTCCGAGATTTTGTGTAAACATTGTGACGGCGATACTTTGCAGCTAACAACCTGCATAGTTGAAGCCAAAATTACTCCACCACAATGAACAAGAAAACTATACGAGTGATTTTGCTGATATACGTGCGTCGCCCGCGATAAGTCAACGATGATGCCTTGCATATGAAATTTGTGCTTAGAAAGGTAAGAAAATGCACTATAAACTCAGTGGTACACAAAAGGACCCTACAAGAAATAACTGGGTGTAGTAGTCAATTATCATAGCAACTCACACAGGCACAAGGCTAGCGTGCCAATCGTTTGCAATGAACAGGCACTTGTCACCATATGTATATCCTCCGAGTGGTAAGACTAGAGGTGCCTCACACGCTGCGTGACAGAGGAGTGTGAAACGAAACTGAAAGCCCACATTATTCACTGCATTAGACAAAAGGTAATTGTGATGCAAATACACGATTAGTTCGTAAATGATAAGTCAGAAACAAATATATCGGCATAAAAGTAGGTGAGAAGAACAAAGTACTTAGCAGCTGCACAATTCAAGAAATATAACTATGATGTGATAACAAAATGTCTACGGTAAATCAAATCGTTAGAATAACCTAGCTGAAACTTTACTGTCAGTTCTCTTCAGTAAGTGGAGACAGAAGTCTTGGTAAAGTAGCTCGTCTTTACCATACGTGCATCGAACCAAATGTCGTTAAACTACGACTGACATCTACGGCGTTAGTACTTATTGACAAACCAACTGATAATACAAGAACAATTTACGAAGGAAAAACTATGGATATAGGCTTTATGATCTCTAGACTAGGCAGCAACAACGATTGTAGACTAAGCTAGACCGCGCAAAGAACTCGATTCGCCAGAGGAACACAAGCTTTCCATGTAATTGAGAGAGAGAGAGATGTGCTGTAGTTTGCTTGTAAGGATTCGGCTGAGGATTCGACTAGCTCCGGGATCAGAGGGATGAAAGCACCCTGTACTATGTTGATATTGATGCCAAGGCATTAGGATATGCCAAGTGATACAAAAGAAGACTAAAAGATGTATGCATGAACAATTACGATGATCTAACTGGAATTTTACGAATGTATGTGATATGGTGAGTAATAAACGCTCACCATGACTGCTCTTATACACAGTCCTTGATGAGAAAGGATTCACTATCTTCATCAATTCATTCACATTATCAGTCTACAACACAAAGCCCGAGTGCTTGTGATAGACCCGTGGGACAATGTCGACCATCTAGACCGAGTGGTGAATGTACCTAATCGACACCGTAAGGTGAAGTAACCACAATTCAGATGGCCTCAAATAGAATTTACGCACTCACCATGCACCTGATCAGGAAGGGATGTCGAAACAGCTGATAATAGCAGAAATAAGGCTGTATGGAAACACTACATATCATTGGAAGTAGTTGGGTGAGCCCCAATACCCCTCAGCACGAGTTTCTATTATACTCAAGAGTAGAAAGGCCAAAGTCGGGGAAACTGTCACCTAGCTCTATTAGTTACTGCAGTGCTCCCACCCCGTCCCTGGCATTCGAATATCATTTCATACTATGAAGAGGTTAACACCCAGTCGGCAGTCAAGGTGGTGAGAAGTCTATTCGCAATTCACATATGTGTGATAACAATAAAAACACTGGAAATTGACTTGAACAAACTACTGTAGATAGGAAGATATATTAGTCCTGATGTCTGAACGACCATCTACAGTGTTGCAATGTGCTCTTCGGAAGAAGAATCAAATTCGATTCAAGTTAATGACCTGATTGTCTCCAAAAGCTCCGCGTGTATCACCATACGGAGTGCCCGGTCTGTGGTAGGATGGATGGTCAACAAAAACCTGCTCAAAAGAAGACAAGGTGACGAAAAATAAACATTATGATTCATGAACTTAGAGGTTAAGGTACTTAGCTTCCCTTCTCCTAAGATAAAAAGCTCGCCAAAAATGATCTCCGTCACAAAATAAAGAAAACACAACTAACAACTCTCTTCCTTTTCCTACGATTGCTCGCTATACCCTAACTTGCTGTCACACTTTTTACAAACAGGCAAGTTAGAAAGATTCTCAATCGAATGTTAAAGGACCGTCTCATTTACATGAGATACCTTCACCACGAGCGATCAATCGTATTGAGCGTATAATTAGGGCTTATCTGTCCTGTTACACAATAAACAACAGTTGCAAGACAAAATGATTCTGCAGACACAATTTTGCTGGTCCTCAGAGCTTGAAGTTTCCTCTATGAAATGAGAGAGGACGCCTCAGATTTGAACCGCTAATTTGTCCCTTTATTCCTTAGAGGTTTTCGCTCAGACGAGTGACAACTGTGCGAGTCATTATTCTCATCTTTCTCGGATCATTCATCAGGAGAAATGTAACGGTTTGACACACAGTAGGTAACATGGACTGCAGCAATGGCCTGATCGCAACTGGGTGATATTACCTCGTGGGTGAAGCCACATCTTCAAGTGACGACCCTACCAGGCATATGACACACAGAGGTTCCAGGAACAGACAGACCTTAATCTAAATGCTCCCACGGTAAATTATGACATAATATGTGACATACTCGAGTTCCTCACAGAGCTACAGATGGACATAGACAGGACAAAGCTTTTTCACTTGATGATTTTCAATCGTAGGCACAACACTGGGTTTCCGAAGAAATAAATAGGACGCATGAATTCGGAAGCATTGATGATGTTACACGGTCATGAATAATAAGCCTTGCGAGCAAAGATCGTAGGAGGAGACCGGTGCATACTGTATGGTTGGTGCCGCTAAATTTTCACATTCCTCTAAAAAACTGATTGTAAACAACTGAGTCTGTCAGGGAAGGAAGAAAAGTGACTCACCCAGTCGACACCAGCACGGTACTCGTGAAAATATGCAACCTCGTGGAGCCCACCAAAGCATCCAATTTTGATGCGGCATTGAGCATCGAAGGCACTTTTGTAGTGAAGGTCGTCGGCAGTTCCATTCATGTAGCGTGGAGACACTACCATAACCCTGTGGCCGCGAGCTGCCAGTGCGATTGGCAGTGAACCACAGACATCTCCGAGTCCTCCTGTTTTGGAATACGGCGCAACTTCCGAAGACACAAAAACGACATTGATGGGGTTACTGGTGCGCCTGTTTCCTTCCTCCAACTCGCTGCGTGCCAACTGGGCGCCCTGTAAGCCACCATCTGGAGCTTGTTCATCTGCTTGCCCGCTTCCTGCCCCATGAAAAGAAAAATCCGCATTACGCCTTTACGTATGTACATTATCATTTTAGACCCCATAACTACTCACATTCGCCGTATTGGAGGAAATTGCTAGCTATGACGAACTTTGACCACTAAGATACTTTCGGCTGATAGTCTGAATAGGTGGTGTAGGCTTGATACGGCCAGTAAGTAAAGCTTGGTTCACTTAAAGTAACCATGAGAAACCCCATGTAAGTAGATGTACAAGCGCAAGAAACTATGATGGTTGACCTTCGCGGAGAGGAGAAGCGACAGCAGAAGTGGCGCCCATTTGGACATTTGCCCGAGCACGACCCCCAAGCTTCTCAATTCTCAGAATTTCGCGCTCCAAATTCTTTGAAGTGCTCGAAACCGAGACAAAATTGTCGGTAAAATTGGAGGATACACCCACCTGCTGAAGAGAAGAAGTAATCGATTCAGAACCTCGTGGATTGCAATTACTGTGCACTTTCGGGGGCTACAACATGACACAAGCGAAGAGCAGCGCGAGCGAATGAGACGCACAGTACACCAAAAATGTAAAATTCTATCATGACGTCTAATCCGGGAACATGTCATAACAAGGACGTTCTTTCCATTCACTCGACTTGTCTGACATACTCCAATAAGCAGACGTCACCTATATAATACAGACATATGCTGATACCACCTTGGACCACTATAACAATTTCGACTTTGACCCAATAATCGGACTTCCCTTACTTCGGGCCAGTCTCAGACGAATGTAAGACATACAAAAGTTTGTGAGACAAATGACGTTTCCTGACAGTGCTCCTCGAATAGTTACAATTGATGAAAGGACTGAGGTATTCTCCTCTCCACATCAACTTCCGATTCTGAACAACAAATTACACCAGAAAGCATGCAGAAACAAGGAAGACGCGCAGCTTTGCAATGTGATGAATATATCCAATCAATGGTGGAATCCAAGTATTCGACGCGAATTCCAACCCTTGCAATCCCTCGCCAGGCACAACCCCCTTCGTCAGGAGAAAAGCGAACCAGGAACCAGCTATACGAGAATCCAGAGCTAAAGGCCTAAAGAATCGGTTGATTTCTGTGATGCTGCTGGAGTAGGAGTGACGTCGTACAAGCCGAAACAAATTCAAATTTACCTCGACTCCATGGCGCGCGCTTCTTTCCCTGTAGACCCGAAGACCTCGGTGTCGCAAGTTATCGAGCTTCAAAGAGGCCTGAACAGATTTTCCAGAGGTGGAAGATAATTGGCTACACTGAACGACTCCATCCGAAGCCGACGACGAGGAGGGAGAAGAACTGCAAGTTTGCTGACGAATCCAGCAGGAAGAAGCACACGGTCCTGCGCTACTCAGCTGCACCACTGCCGCCATTCCTGCAACCCCTCATACAACAATGTCCAAAACCTGCGCGTTTCTCCCCCGCCTTCCCGAGTGGCCCCTCCCTCTCTCCGTCGCGAGAGCTATTATTCAAGCTACAAATTCAAGCTATCATCCTCCTCCACCTGCTCTCCGTCCTCGACCACTCCCTAACCACGCAACGACTGTCCTGCGACCTCAATGCTCGAACCGAAATCGCGGTGACAATCCCCTCTGCTCGCGTGCATGCGATGGCAATCGCTACTGCTCGGACTCCCAACTCTGGCCCTGCAGCTGAGGATCGCGATGATCGCGTGGTCCCTCCTCCCCTTGCTCTTCGTTTGGTTGCCCTCTCCTCTCCTCTCCTGTTCTCTTCTCTTCTCTTCTCGGCCTCCCCTTCCCTTCCCTTCCCTTCCCTGCGCTTCCGTTCCCTTCCTTCCTTCCTTCTCCTCCCGGCGACCACCACCTCCACCAGTCCCTTCTCTCTCGGCGCCCCCAAACTTTGTCCTCTGGGCTCCGGTCGCATGCTCGGGGACCTCCTACAGCCGGTCGCCGAGATTCAGACTCCCCGCGCCTTCGTCTTCCCCCAGCGAGAGTTACACAGGCCGCACTTCGCTCCGTTGCAAAATATCTTTCTCACACAGCTCGCACGAGAACAGCACCGGACAGACCGTTCGATGGTTTCGAGGCTGGACCATGCCCCGCCTGTGGTCCGTCCATCCATCGCCGATACGGGCAGTGAGCTCGAGCGACCTCCCTCGGGAGGCTGAAAAGTCGGGGAATCGAAGAGCGTCCCGTTCATCCGATAAAAGTTACGGGTACCTGAGAGGAGTCAAACTTACCCAAGGCTGCAAAAAGAGTGTAGGTGGTAGCAGTTTTCGGAATAATCAAAGCACTAGATAGAATCAGTTGGATTGTCGGCCGGGGATTCCCTAAACCACAGGTTTGGTTGATGGGGCACTGTCTGAGGCGGTCACCAAGGAGAGGGGCTCAGTGCTGGAAAGGTAGTGAGTGCTCTGCCTCAAAGAGGCTGGCGGATCGAACACCGCTGGTTCGTCCATGGTGGCGCTCTGGGCCTGCGGGAGGGCAGGCACCGTTTGTTCTGGTGTCGCCAAGTCATATGACACCTTTCTCGCTGCGATGATTTGGGGAGGGAGCCCTGTGCTCTGCGCGACCTTGCCATGCTGTTGTTGTTCATGGGGCTGTACGTACGCCTTGTACACTCCGACATCCCTCCACTGCTTCAGGGGATTTTTTCCCGTTCCTCACGTGTGTTGCCCGTAGACCCACAAGCGCTTCTGCCTACCCCTGTTCCTCCAGCCGAGATATCTTGCGGTCCCGCTCGACAGGTGTGAGTTCATCGCCTTCACTTGAGGCGCGAGAACGATCGATCGCCTACCGATTGTGGGGTTTCTCGGTCAGTTTGGGCAATTGTTGTTGGAATCTGGTCGAGAAATTTTCCAACCGTTCTTTTTTACTCGCTCGACATACAACTTGTCAAGTTGAAGAAGTAGTAGGTTTCGGATTTGTGCATGCTAGACGAGCCTGGGAGCATTGTGGTCGAGGAATCGCACGGGAGTAGGTAGAAGACAGTGGGCCTTAAGAGTAGGTCCTCAAATGGCATTCGGTACCAAAGGTAGGTAAATGAGAAGTCGATTCCTGTGCACCTTACAAAAGCGACCGGCACTGATCTCTCACCTCATCCTCTCTCTCTTCCTTCTATATTTTCGTCACTATTGTATAGATTACACAAGCAGGCAGCTTCAGCATGCTTTCGAAGCAATATCCACCATTCCAGTTAAGAAAAGTAAATAATCAGCTGCGCTGATCGGAGTGATCGGACGCTTGCCACTCCCTTCCCAATTTCAATGTTCGTTCGTTGGTGGAAAATAGTATCTTGCGACCAGCACTCGGCATCATCTCATTGGTCAGCTGGTGCATCTTTGCATGCCATGTACGTGTGACGTGCCCAACCAACTGAGTTGTACAAAATACTTGGTTCAGGTCTTACCTGGTCGTTCACAGCAAAATCTTTGCTCTCGTAGCACAATCACGGTCGTCTACAGGCATACTTTAAAATCAACCTGCTTGCTGTTTTATACTACGATGTATCCCCATGGGTTTGTCGGAGCTCGAAAGGGCTCAGCTATCGGGCTCATCTCGCCGACGTCATCCTGTATCGTCCGGCCCTTTCTTTTAAATATCGTCCGTTGTTGCAGACTATTAATTCAAAGTCCAGGTGAGCTGATCTCCTTATTTGCACTGCGTTGGCCACTGCGTCTACGTGAATCCGATCATCAGCTTTAAAGCCACGCATCGTATGTCGTCTTCGAGTAGGAGCGAGTGACCTCCGGATCCACAGTACACACAGTCATGGGCTTATTCGCCTCTTGCACAGAATAAACAGCGATACTCAAAACAAATGGGGAAAAGGCGTGCACCACATGGTAAAACCAAAATTCACCTCATGTAAATGCCAATCATATTGTTCTCGTTAGATTTTGCTTCAAGCACCGTGCAGACAATAACCTTCTGTAATCTCGCTCTCCAAAACCTTTATTTGCCGGATGACACGTTGAAATTTTGATTCATTCGTTCCCACTGTAATACTTTCAACATGTGCGGCGCCGAAGATCATGCTCGCAATCATAGATACATCCCTTTGATGCATAATCTTGAAAACCAAAATATCCAATTTAGGATACAGGTATTACGTACTGAGGAGCTGTAGAAACATATGATCGGAAACGCAAGAAATCCCCGTGACCAAGAGAATACAACGTGAAAACGGAGACATGCAGGATGATACCGAGGATCTTTTTCAAGAAACATAGGGCGGAGGAAAGCCGAACTGATTTTGAAAGTTCACCTGAACATCACTTAAACATCCAGACACATAACAAACTCGCCCTTAATCATCCACTGACACTCCATAATATATAGTGACATCCACCTGACAGACAAAGATAGCTCTTGTGCAGAAGACCAGAGGACAGGAGGATGTTTCACGACATTTCATGGAAACTTCATAAGCCACGTCATTCTCTCTTCAATGTATATATCACAAAGGCAGCACTGAATTCAGAGGTCCATTGTAGGACCAAACTGACTGTGCACCCGGAGTTGTATAAATGCTTCCGATGTGTGGTCTTTCTGTATTTGGCATTGTAGACCATGCTGAGTTGCCCAGACCTAAACCACCCACTGTCGACCAGCTGTTGTCTCTAGTACTCTCCTGCACAGGCCTGCAAAGGGAACTACAATTAGCTTTCATAATCGACTGAATCACACTCCATACTTCACCTGTGAAGTGTGAAGTTTTCCTTCCATCGCAGTACGAGCTCCGAGCAAAAGAAGGCATACCGCAAAGATGAAGAACAAACTAAACTGCTCTACATGTTGCAACGTTCACAGTCAAAAGTAAATTTCTATCTCAGAATTAGGACCATTCTAAAGAAAAAAGTGGACATCACCACGGATCTTCCAAAACACTTCTAAGTCAGCATGATAATAACTTAAATTTCTAACCGGTAGTACCGGTTCGTTGAACTTACCCTCGAGCAATTTGACGTGCCATGTTCTCTCGATACTCAATGATTTGACCCCGCAGAATATGATTAGGACGCAAAGTTTTATCTACACCACTTCCATAACCGCCAGGCGGTGGTGGCAAAACTTCTCCGGTGATAGGGCTTGTATCATGTGTCCTGCAATAGAAACATTACAAAATTAATATTGCACGTGGTCAAAATAAAGCTTTAGTCAGTGGCACAAGATTTTACTGAATGCTTCAAGATACATCCACGGGGACAAACAATGATCGAATGGAAACTCGTACGAAGCACAATCCTTTAACGATGAGGCCACCCCTAACTATCTAAGATCGTCAATTCAAAGTAATAAGAGAGAATTATAATAACATTTCGATCTAGACCTTGAATCACAGCAGGAAACAACACCAAACTAAAACGCGTGTGATGAAGAAGGAATAGGAACGTACTGGAGCCACCTTTCAATGGCTGCACGCTCGTACGAATGGCCATCAGCAGTTATAACAGGGTCCTGCATGACCTCTTGCGTGATGCAGTCAACAAACTCTGGTGGTACGCGCTGAAGCGACTCAGAATCAGCCCATATTCGCAAGGCAGACTCAAAGGCAGAATTATCCGACCACAGACTCTGGCTATTGCCAACGGGCAACGGGGTCAAAAATTCACCACTGCTACAACCTACACCCACATGCTGATGTGGAGAGAAAAGGGAGGCCGGCAACTGGTTTTCAGGTTCTAAGGAATGGGAGAGAGTCCTTAGTGAGTCCTTCTGTGAGTTCATGAAACTATTGCCCAGATAGTTCCAAGGCAGGGGTTCTGCCAAGCTGGGCAGTTGCCTTTGGTCCAACTGTGGAGTGTCCCACATCTGCCACTTGTCCCCTGTAGACTGTACTTCATTAGGATCATCTAGGGATAACGGAGGTTGCCCCCAAGGTTCCAGAAGCTGTGGCAGTTGGTCCTGCGGCACATGGGTCTGGCTCTGGCTAGTTATGGGAACTGGCACCTGAATGGGAGCAGGCATATGCAGAGGGCCAGATACAGGCGTGTGAACAGGTACTTGTAGTGGCTTCCCTATTGGGGTAGGAGCCACAAGAGGAGGCAACACAGACATTTTTGATGAAAGAGTACCGTGGGCAGGAGTGAAGACAGAACTAGCGACACTGCTTGTAACTGAAGGTGAAGAAGTTGGTACAGTGGAAGGAGCAGATGAATGTACAGGTGGTCCGACAGGAGCGACCACACATGAGGGTTGCGTGATTATAGATCCTTGAAGACCATGGCCAAAAATCAGAGTGGTGTGTGATTCCAAAGGAGCACTCGGGGTATCTACAGAGGACTTTGTATGCTCCACAGGCTGCTTAGGCTCCTGGTGAGTTTCGAGACTTGAAGGTGGAGATGGAGCGTTGTTGTTTGAAAAAAGGCGTTGCCATGACTGAGAAGAAACCGGAGCCTGCTGTTTCGCATCCACCTGCACCAAAGAAAATGTTTTTAATTTTACAACAAAGAAGAATCATTCGGCTACACAGAAATAAAGAACCGACTAGAATACAATGTGCCAGCAACGATTCAAAATGAACTACATAATCCAGATCTTGCTACACCAGCCAAAGCGAGCTCTTCCAAGATTTTAGAGATGTTGCATAATCTTGAACGTGTGGATGTGGAAAGTACCACAATTTACCACCAATTCCGTCATCCCACACACACTACTAAAATGGGAGGCAAAAGTCAATTCAGAAACAGAAAGATGGACGCGGTTTGTAAACTGATGCTATTATAATGGGTCGGCATGCGTGAAGAACTGATGCTCTGAATACTTCATAATGGTACATCCCACAAAATGATGTGTGCTTGGTCAACCGCATATCTGGTTGCTTGTTCACCTGATCATGTGTTCTCCGTATGTATACCTATTGTCCGCATGTGTTTCGTCTCTTAGTACAAGAGCACTGAAGCGAAGTCCGGAGAGACGTAACACATGCAGACAAGAGGGATATGTACGGCGAAGACATAATAAGGTCAACAAGCAAGAAAAGATCCAAAACGAACAATAAATGAGGTCGCCTCTTGTAAGTTGTAAGTTCCGGAATTTGAATCTAACAACGTCAAGAAACACGCAAATCAGGAAACTGAAAAATCTGAACAGAGACCTGATGACCAAATGCAACTTGGAGACAAACTGTACTGAGAAGTCAAGAAAGATAAGAAAAGAAAAAAGCATAAAACCAAACAGTAATAATCGGTTATCATCAAAAGTGAATTGTGGACTGGCAGATTGGATGCAGCAGGGGCCAAAGAGTATGACCAACATCTCGGAGACGAGTATCATTAGGCAATCACATATAAGCGGACGGGTTTAACAGTGCATGTTTCGGCACGACATGGCGTAAAGTAAGGTTTTCAACACTTAGGTGCTTCGATATACCCAGGCAAATCCTGCAGACACCACAGAGACAGCAAACCTGGGGCTGGCTGTCAATACACCCTGCGTACACAAGATACTTGGCACTTCCCATCGCCTCACGGCCTCCGTCAAGCATCAAAAGCAGAAACTCGAAGCAATAAGGGTTGCAGGAAATGAAGAGGGATGAAACCTCAATATAATTACAAGTTTCGACAATTTACATCCTCGCAATATTCACATTTACTCTTGACACATTTACTCTTGACGTCGAAACCAGTATAAAATCACCTTGTTGGTAATATTCTTCACTTAACATTTCTTAGATGAACATATCAAGTACACGCAGGATGTGAATCAAGATTCAAGAATTATAGTTTAACTTTGTAAGAGAGTTTGAGAGTTGCTGGAGACGACACAATAGGGATCGTGAAATCCTCACAACAAACATATATTGTGAATCTTCTGGTTATAAACAAGCATATGATCTGTGGTCAGTCAATGAAATGAGTGATTCCACATCTGGAATCACTCAACTGCAGCACATCATATTGATAGATGAAAAGGTCAAACTCGAGTATTCTTGTGACAAACTCATCTTCAAGTTTTGATCCGATTGTCAAAAAAAATAACTTGGAAAAGTAACACCTGCGGTTGTGAGTACGAAAACAACTAGAAGATATGCACAACAGATGCCATTTTCAGTTTTATCCGCAACCACGGATTACAGTAGATGGTCAGTTGTCAAACGTATTACGAATCTAATTCGTTAACGTGGTTTGCAGCAAATTTCTGTGACAAAATTCTTCTAACATGGTTTAAATTAGAAACCTCTTGGTGATTTCTTTGAGTGAAACGAGATTTATTGTACAATAAATCCTCGTTGCTAGCGTGATGCAATGCGCTTTCTCGAGAAAAGTAAACCTCATTTCCGAAATTTTCTGACATTACAACCGATTCCTGCTCAACAACCGATAAGCAAAATTCAAGTACCGTGAAAAGTGACCGAGAATCATTTACAGAAGTTGGTATATATATATAATATACGTTTATCTAGCAAGATCTAGTACAGGTACTAAGTCCGAACGGCTAAATTATGGCTACAGTTATATGATGTGCCGTTGGCTAAAAGCTCCGTTGTACCCTGCAGCTTAGCAAGATGATGAACCAAACTTCTTGCTCATGTGAAATAGGTATGCTGTAACCTACTTAAATCACTCTGGTTAGTGGAATCCGATACTTGAAGAGTATAGTTGAGCATCAGAAAGTAAGCAATTGTAGATGACGATCAAGTAATGAATCAAATGAGCCTACAAGACACTTTCATAAGTTAAAAATACATTATGTGAAGGCCACCAATGTGAAGGGCACCAGGACCGAGCGAACTTTCTGAGAGCGGTAGAATGGGCTGTTTTGGCAGGTTCTATTCAAAAGCCAGCGCAGAAATGAGCGTGTATCAATGAGATCCTGATTATACGCATGTTATAGACAGGAGTATTACGATTGGATTCAATCCCAGCGCGGACCCGAGGGGCCACTCTAATGTATGTACAAAGTCTATGTAGGTAAAAAGAAGCTATGACCATGATAAAAGAACATATAAAACACGTACAAGAGATGAGACCATGGCCTACCTTCCCGTTACACAACGCAGAATATTACAAATTTGTGACCTTCGGTCCGTAACATGATAAAAGAAAGAATCAAAATTCAGTGTCGGTCTAGGGAAGCAAAACCCTAGAGATAAACGTATCTAATTCCTCTCACTGGACAGCACAAATCTATGTGTTACTTCTAAAGGACCCAGTATAATGACCATACATCCGATGTCTCTTTGGGCAAAGAAAGTGAAATTAGTAAGCTGACAACAATCCCATCTGCGTATCAGTATTTATATTATAAAATTCAGAATATGTCCATTGAAAGAACGTTCCAAGGAGAAAACATAGTTAAGCAAAAAAAATGACAATTGTACATTGCTATTACTTTACATATACCCTCAACACTCTTGGAACGGCATAAAAATGAAACATGGGCCCCGCATGTCAAAACTACGTGTGCTCTGCTGGAGGCATGTATGCCCCAAAAAAAAAAAGGAAGAGATGTATCATTCTTTTTATTGTATTTCGAGAGCCAAGATTATGTAATGCTAGCAGAGGGGGTTTGACAGATAAGTAGACTCTCCCGTATCCAAAACAAACATTTCCATAAGAACATTGCAGATAACTGTTTGGCTCTTCAAGGTGGCGGCAATCAAGTAACTTGAACAAATTTGGTACGCATCATAAAACCTGGTACTCGTAAGGATGTCAAATCCTTCTTAACAACCCACAAAGGACGGAGTAAATTCTCTCGATCTCGGGATATTTTGAGGAGGACAAACAGAGCAAAAACTTTAGGATCTGCCAAAATGAGAAATTAACACTTACAGTTGAATGTGGCAGGTCAGAGACACTACTCCCACTGGAGCCATTCATGTGGGGTTTTCCACCTGTCTGATTGACAACATCCGGCCTCGCACTCAAACTCGAGGGTCCTGATAGTGGCGCCACGCTACTCTCGTTTGGACATTGACTACTTTTTCCCCAAACCTTAGTCCAAGGCATCCTATTCCACGGAGAGTATGAGCTGTCTGTCAGCTTTCCATTTGAAATCCCTGATGCACTACTTCCCGCAGGTTGATTAGAATTGGAAAGGGAGGCAGCTTTAGGAGCCTTGCTTCCTGGATGTAAACCCCCTGTTAATCCCTTGCCCCAAAATGATGTATTATTTTGGTGAGCAACTCCATTCTTCAGGGACGACACACCTGTTCCCTTCACTGGACCTAAGTATCTCGTACTCCCAGATTTCCCACAAACTCCAGGTCCTGCTTTGACCGGGAGGTCATTCCCCTTGCACCCTAATTCTACACCTCCTCCTCTTGAACTTTTCGAAGGTTTCTTCACCTCACCATTTGGCACAGAACTGGGCTTCTTTTCAACCTCTACACGCTTCTCCCCATCACTCTTCTTGTCCGGGTGATCCTTCTCTTTTTTCTTCTTCGAGTCTTCTGAGTCGGTGTCCCTCGACTTTTCCTTTGCCAGTTCCTTATCCTTTTCCTTGACCTTTTCTAGTCGTCGTTTTTCTGCATCCCGTTCTCTCCTAAGTTCTCGCTCACGCTCAGCGGCAGCTTCTCTTTCGTTCTCCTTCTCAGCCTCCAGCTTTTCATCACGTTGCCTTCGTCTTTCCTCTACAAGGCGTGCTACTTCTTCTCGTTGCCTCCTCTCTTCTGCTTCAAGTTGCTCCCTTTCAAGCCGTGCCTGTCGCTTCTCCTCGGCCTTTCTTCGTGCTTTGTCACCCCTGCTTCCTTGAGACACTCCACCTTCGTCCCCTTTCCTTTGTCCACCTCTCCGACCTCCATTCACGCTTCCATCTTCCCCGGGTCTCTCTCCTCTCCACAGCTTTCTCCACACCCATCTTAAACAAAAAAAGACGAATGAAAAACCCTTGTAAAGGGCAAAGAAAAGGCCACCCTGATGAGCCTCGCCTGCCACACAGCTCTCTCCTGCAAAAATACCCCCACCATACCCATTACCTGCCCAGGTGCCTGCTCCAACGCCTACTCCACCACCAGTCGGACCCCCTGCTCCTCCTCCCCAATATGCTGCACCTGCCCAACTCCTTCCCGGCCAATTCGTTGCACCCCAAGACCCATTCGCGCTTCCCCATCCCACACCGGCCGGTGCTCCAGCCCATGCCTTATTTCCTGTCCAGCCTCTGCCCCCTGACACCCAGCCTCCTCTTTCAGGCCAGCCCCTTCCACCCCATCCTCGTGAGCTTCTTGATCCAAAGATACCTCCTGGTACTGATCCAGCACCATTTGTAGGCTGAATAGCTCCTAACGGCCCGCCTGGGGCCATTCCTCCCGTAATTCCCACCCCTGCTGAGGCTCCTGGCACATCCAGAACTGGCCTCTTCGAAACATGCCCACAAAATGTACACATAAATCTCCCACCACCAGGTGTCTGGTCGCGGTATGCTGAGAGGCAGTTGCGGCACCGCCTGGTTGCCTCCTTGCGCCATTTCGCAGCTTCCTGTGCTTCGATCCTTCTTCTTTCTCGCAGAAGAGCACTACGTCTTGCACGCCACATAGACAAGCGCGGCATTGCAAGCTCGTACCATCCCAAACTAATTAATAACACACCTACACAGGCTAATCTTGGAGAAGTCACCTCAAAACGGAATCCAGGAGGCAACAACTGAGAGAGCGCCCATAAAATAATGAGGGGGATGATGAGCCAAGGCAGCATCGTAACAATGCGCCGGGACCACCTTGACGCCACACAGAGAATGCACATTCTGCACTCTCACGCCCCTATTTCAGCCACCCTGTACTTTCACAACCTACTAAATATTCGCCTTATTTTTCCTCCGCAAACGTTCCTCCGCTCTGGAAAGCCTAAGAAATCTGTCCCTAGTGATCGTTCACCTGCTAACACAAATTCTCTCTCGTTCTCCCGCTGCACGGTGCGAATCCTGAACTTGCCCCGGAGGCTTAGATTGCTGTGGGGCATTTTGCTGCCATGCCAACTTCCTGCAATACAAATAGTTGGGGCATTCAGCAGGCCACAAGAACATGTGTGAGTCTTGAAAGAAACTTGACATTCAAGTAGTGACAGGAATTCGAATTCATCAAGCCATAAGATCCTGTAACCTCCTTGCTTCTACTCCACGTAGATGAAAGAAATACAGGAGTCGCACACACAAGTACGGTGGACCCGCTCCAGGTGACGGGAAAGGGAAAGCGTGGAGTGCCAAAAGTGCAGGTAATGGACATCTCTCAAAAGACGCCAACGATACTCCCATTCTATCATAAAAATCGTCAGCAGGCTTGAATGTAGACACACAAATCACTCTTTACCAGAAAACCAGCAGTACCAAGACCTCAATAACCCGTAATGCTTTCCTAGAAAGAGCCACTCGCCCCAGACACAAATAGCACGCCAAAGACACACAGTAGATATCGTAGGCTTGCGGCAACATCCATACCCGCATTCGAATAGGGTTTCTCCTCGTACTAGAGGTAAGATATCCCCAGGGTTCGTCAAAACCAGCGCACAAGTCGACGCCGATGTCAGCAGCAAGAGCACACACGCCCGATGCCAGGACAGAAAAATGATAATGTTACAAGACGATATAATCATTGATCGACCTCAAATGCACCAAAGGAACCAGCAATCAACCTCTCCTCTAAGATTGTAAACCAGTGCGAGATCGTAAGTATGCATCTACGACCCTACACAATCGTCCGTTCCCTCCCTCCGTGACTTCTGCCCCTGTTTCTACTTCCACATATTACATCCTTCGTGCATATTCTCTACACTCCCACCACCAACCACGCACAAGCCCGCAGATATATCTGCTCCTCAGCCTTTCAACTTGCTAAGGATTTCCTCCCTCCGCTTGGATCCTAATTTGGGACGATTTCTCCATCAAATGAAGGCCACTTCCTACTCAATCGCTCGGCTCGGCCTGGCCTCTGGCTTCTCCAGCGCGAAGCTGGATCGCTAAAAGCAGGATTTTTTTTAGGCACAATAAACTGAAAAGAAATTGGACAAAATGAAAACTCCGCACATTCCTTTTAAACGAAGCCGCGGGGTAAAAACAAAAAATAATAGTAAGTCTGACGTGTGCTGACTTTCACGTCCTGATAAGGCCACCTCTTCGCGATGTTACCAGGTCCACTCGCTTCTGCCTTCGACATCTGTTATCACCAGTCCGAATTTTCCGATCAATATAAGTATCAAGCAAAGGGTCATTAAGACGGGTCTGGCCCACCACAAAACGGGTGCAGGGCTGAAGCGAGGAAAGAACCCGTGACTTACATCAGTGATCAACAAGGGTTTGATGCGAGGGAGCTCTGTGTTGCACCGGATATCTGCAAACCCTTCGGTGCGCCGGATATCCAACCATTTACAGCACCTACTATCTACCGGAGCTATAATGTCGCTGGAGGAGGAATTTGAACATTTCCAGTTCAGGCACCGGAGCGATTCTTACCCACTATTCCGGAGAACCCTACCGCATGTGTGACACTCTCTCTGACATGGATGGAAGTTTGTTTTGTCTTCGTTGTTTGTTGATCCACGTTCAGAGCCGGCTGAATACCACGGCAGATATGCTCTGGCCTATTCTCGATACTGAATGTAGCAAGTGACGGGAATTTGTAGCCTTCCGTGTGTGAAATTGTGGACAGATTTGTTGCAACCCTTTACCATTGGTTCGAGGAACGTGACGGCTGTGTAGCTAGTTGATCAACTGGCTTGACAGTGGGGTGCTAATTGCCATTATTAGCCCTCGTCGTGCAAACCGGATGCTCACAGAGAAAATGTGAAAACCTTGGAATCCCTGAGGAGAGCTTATGAAATGCTGCAATCGGGAGAGCTAGTTCCGTTGGACATTCGCGAGCCCCGAGATCTACATAAGGTTGTATCTAGTGAACCTGTTCATTAAGCTGAGGAAGCTCATCGTACCTCCTTTCAGCTCAGCAACTGGACTGACTTGGCACTTCAAAACTCCAGAGACCATGTTCGTCAGTTCCAGACTCCACTTTTGGATTCACGTCATGATATAGAGCTTGCAATATTATGGCTCTCCGTCTGAGATTCCGTATACTACTTTCGAATACGCAATTAGGGCTGAGATGTGTTCTTCTTGAACATCCTTTGCTGGAACTGTCTTTGCTTGAAATTTGAAGTGAATCAACCGTCCAAGTTGTACAGGAGAGCTTGCTCAAAGTCCCATCAATCCTCTCCACTTTCTATGTATACAGACGAAGGTTTTCAGGAACAGTACTGTACAAGGTATTTGAAGTCTAGAAAGGAGATCTCTTAGCACATTTGTTGGCAGATTTGAGTCCAGTCAATTACTTTCTCGCTTCCTGTGTTGATTTGAGTAATTCATCATCGTGATATGCCATTACTTTCATACATCACCACATAGTTCGCGGACATGTTTTGAGTACGGATTTAGGTGGAATATGATGCAATGATCATTTCAATACAATGTATAACAGAATGTCCTCACCGTTAGCCGATGGGAATAGAAGGGAAGATCAAATCCAAACAAATGAATAATTCTACCATGTTTTCTGGTTGTTATAAAGCATGTGTCACAACCCATTATCTTAACAGGCCAGGTGCAGGTAATCTCTTGTGATATACTCCAGCGTCACTCTAACAAGATAGTGCAGCCTACCAATGGAGATGAGTGACACTTCTTGAATAGATAGAGAGATATGTAATGAAACAAAATTTCGAGGCAAGGTAACATGATATACTTCTCAATCATGGAATTAAAATAGATGTGAAGAACGTTTAATGCGTTTCCTTTTTAAAATTTCATTATTAACTATATAATGAAAATTTAAGTACGAAATGTTCATAATTTATTTCTGAAATGAAAAATTAAACAAATACAATTGTATCGCGAAATGTAATCTTGTCAATTGTATATCTTGTCTTTATATTACAATCTTGACTCAGCGGAGAAGTTTTAGAGGATCTACTAGGAGAGAAGTATGCTTGCGTAGATTGACAGACGAAACATCCTTTAATAGTTTCTATTTTTGGAAACGATGTATATGAGTCCATTGTCAAACTGTCAATTTTGAAAGTCAACTTTGTGCAACTTCCAAGGTGTGCTAATTGCAAGGAGAGTAAAGGCGGCAATAGCTAGCCTCAAAGTGGAAGAGTGTTCATGTGTTGCTTCTTTATCATTTTGTTGATGCCTCAACCTCGGAAAAAATTTGAATTGAGGAGTTTGAACTGGGTCTTGGAGCTGGAGAGTATACTAATCACATCAATGTTCAACCAAGAAGAAAGATATCATCAAATCGGATTAGTATAGCTCCCAAAAAATGCATTATGAACTAATTCATCCAATTTTAAAAATCATGATATTGAAAAATGAAGATGGTGTTGATATACCACGTCTTGGAAGAAGAAAAATCTTGTTTGTATTGAGAAGTTTAACCTTCTTTCAATAAGTTTGAATGTAATATACTTATGGAGTGTGAGATGCAATCACTAAAATATAACAAGATGTGGAAGCAATGAAGCTTTCAACAAAATAATTGTGTATTGATAACAAGTACATGTACAAGTTGAAAAAAACCCTAAGAGATGATAAGAAGAAAATCTTAAAATAGAAATTGATGGCTACAAATTTCAGAGGATAGAAAAAGCCGTACTACATAAAAAAAATTCACAATTAGAAAAATTTGTTACAAGTATGTGAATTTGTTGCGATATTAAGTCTTGTTATGTGTCAGATGAATGTAAGTATAATATTTTTATATAAAATTTTGGAAGAGTAAATCTATCTGAGACAATCAATTGGTTTTGAGAAAAAAAATCAAATGAGGTTGATTACTATATGGTTGAAATCATTATATGGATTAAAACTATCTTCTATATAATGAAATGCAAGATTTGATGAGTTCATGAAAGTACAAATATTTTCACAAAGTGTGTATGATTCAAATATATACATAAAAATATGTATAATAAATTTCTTAAATTTAATAATTGATTATTTTAAGTCGATATCAAATTTGCTTTGGTGATCAATCAATCAAACATTGAAAAATGCAAAAATCAACCAAATTTTGCATTCAAAATAAATGATCTGAATGAAGTTCATTAAAGATAAATGTTCACATAGATTTAAAAGATAATAATTTACGATTAAATCAAGACAAAGAAATGGAACATTTGCTTGAAAAATTCAATATAATATACTGCAAACATGAATTATTTTGACAATACAGTTCATACTCTCTGCAATCTCAATGTTCAATCTTTGTGATCATAAAATTTGCGATTGAAAAAAAGATATCACAAAATAATGAACTGTCTCTTGTATTTGATGATGTGCACAAGATCTGATATTGCTTAGTTATGTAGAAAATGATTGTGTACATATCAAATTTAAAAGATGGGCACTGAAAAGTTATGAAAGAAATTTATAATTATATTAAAAAACTAAAAATTATAATTTTTTGAAGTCTTGTTTGACAATGCCAAATTTTTGCTAGTTTAAGTTGATTTATGTATGCACAAGATCTAAAGAAGAACAATTTTATAACTTGTAAGGTATATACGCGTTTGATTTGTATGCATCAGTTTTTAAAAAATATGTAGCTAATATCACAACAAAGATTGACTATGTGGTGGTAGCAAAAGCAATTAGAAAACTATTTTATTGAAACTTATGTATCATTCAGATCTGATTGAAATATTGATTTGTCAATTTACAAATGTTTTACATCTGACTTCAAATCAAGCGATAAAAGACAGAGCAAAACACACCAAAAGCACTTACTATTTTTTTCACAGATGCAGTTGTTGATAAAAATAAAATCAAACTAGTTAAGAGTGACTGTAGATTAAATCCAACTTATGAGCTAATTTGCAATATTCGCACGAGAAACATAAATAAAGTTTACTAATAATCTTGTTAACTCTTATTCATTTTTACTCTATATTATTTTAGTTACAACTTCTAGTTTAATGAGTAGATTATTTTATGTTAAATATTTATGTATAGTGTTTTTATAAGGCATGTAGTTTATGGTTCCAACAACATGAATGAAAGTAAAGATTGTTAAAAATCAACTCAGATTTTCAATACATTAATGTTAGATTAAATAGGATTTAAGCTAAATTACCAATATATAATAAAAGTTCACGAATGCCTTTGTTGACACTTTACAGAATTCCATGGAAAGCTGTAGGTGTTTTCATAGACTAAACCACATGATTGAGTTGCGTGAGTGCTTTGTGGCTTTGCATGTGAGTGACTGAGAAGATGTGTCTCTAAGTTTGAATTTCTTCCCAATAATAATTATAGTTCAAATGATTTGTTGCATATACAATTATTTGTTTACTTGTGAATGTAAAATAATGAAATATCATGTATTGTATATTCTTATTTTGGATTTAGATGGAATATTGAGATGCAAAGGAAGGAAAATTTATTCTTTAAGATTTTTTCAATTCATTGTGACATATTAGACTAATAGAATATATGAAAAATATAAAATATACTACTTTTCACATTTTGAATATGATCAAAGTGATAAATTTTGATAATGATAACAGTTTGATACCTTGTGGTATAATGCGAAAACATATTTTGTAATTAGATTTGGAATAGTACTTGTTGATATGTCCAAAAGTGTGTAAATTCATTTGAATAAATATTTAATAAATATGTAATATTCTCATCTTCGTACATAATGTTATCGCTGATTTTTATGAAATCAGTATCTACTATGTATCATGAATAAAAAATATTAGAGTCATAAGTATAAAATATTTACTTGCGAATTCGAAAAAGAACAAAGGTATATGTTTAATGTGATACACCACGTAATGCCTTCTATTCACGTACGTTAGTTCGTGTCTATCTTCATATGACCATTTTTACACAAAATTAGTACTACTATACGAGATCCGTGTGATTATCGCGATTAATGTCGTCAAACTTTCTCTCGAAGATGTTAATAAATCTGATATGGTTTTAGATGTTCTACATATGAAAACTTATAAAAGTTACAAATCTTGTAAATTTTAATAATTCTAACTAATTTAATAACTAACAAGTAATTCACTAGGTTTCTCTTCATTTTTGATATTTTCGTCTAAGGAAAAAAAGCAACATTTTTTTAGTTTATGTGCTAGACCTCAATTGGTATATATCTCAATGCTTGCTTGGAAATCACTATCTATGGTGAACCGAAAGATTCTATGGGAGAGCGGAAAGAAAATCCCAGATCACAACGGAAAAGTAGGAGGAAAATGTCTTAGTATATGAGGAAGTTACAAAAGCTGAGAAACATCACATGGATAAAAGAAGGTCAAAATGCTGCAAAATGCCGATTTCCTGTGTCACCAATCCAATAACTTCCGAGAAGAAGACAAGGAAGAGTACATTGTACTTCCGTTGTGTCACCTTCCTCAGGGAAACTCTCAGGTGAGCAGCAGTGCGGGAAAAGGGGAGTGGGGAAGAGAAGGGGCGGAAGTCCGACCCCATGTCCTGCTGGTGGACTCCAAATTATTGGCATCTCTGCCTGCACAGCGTCGTAGGCGTTGTGTATTTGTACAAAACTCGATCGATCCTCGATGAGATTGGACATTTGGTGGCAGACAAGATCAATCTGATTTGAAGAGCAGATGCTTGAGGAAAAGAGGTCAGGATGGCTATGAGGCGGTGGGTCGGTTGGGCGCGTGAAGTCGTACGCTTAATGCGAGGCTTGCCTGATGAAGATCTTCAACGTCGAAATTTGGCTATGCATGAACAGCTGATTCGCGTAAGTGCTTGCCAAGCTGGTCGTGCATCTCACGTTTTGAAAGACCTTCTGTTTCTCTCCTGCAGCGTGATGGTTTGCATCTGATGTGTGGCTTATGGGCTCCGCTTTTACAGCTTCGTAAGCATCGTCTCGCTCAAGAGGAGCTGCGGGAGAAATCAGCATTGAATGACATTCGAAAAATTGTGGAGGAGATGAAAGCACTTGAGGCCAATCTGGTGGAGGCGGTGAGTAGTGTGGATTTCCAATTATCTGTCCGGAATGGCAATTTTCAATGCTTTACGGTCTGTCCTTTTTTAGGTAAAGAAATTAGTTCTTTCTTCAATCCCTCTACATTTCAATAGAAACTTCGTGCAAGATCTATCTATTCATTTTTTTCTGATATTTGCCACCTTGAGTTCTACCTTCAGATTGTCCAACCTACATGAGTCTTGTCAATCAGTTGTTCGGCACTGCTTGCGTCTCGTTGGAACAGTTGAAGTCTTGAAATATTTTTATGCTTGGAAAGAATGGATATTGGAGTCATTTTTTCTCTGTATGTCCTAAACTCAAATTTTAACGCAGTTTGAAGGTGTGATGATCTTAGATGAAAACAATGGAGCAAGAAGTTTATATAATTTCATCTCTACTTGTGTCATGACTTTGATGTATTTTTTACACCTTTGCAGGAGAAAGCAACTGCTGAGTATGTGGAAAGCTTAGCTGAACAAGCCAAAGCTCAGATGGAATCCGACTTGAATGCCGAGGCGGATATAATCATAGAAAAGGTAATCAAGCAGACTTCGATTCCAGGCGCGCAAGACTTCTCAAAATCATTAAAGTCAGAAGGAAGTTGTGGGAGCGCCAGCACCACAGGTGCGACAGAAGGAAAATCCGTCCCTTGAGGTGGGGTCTTTTGACATCCGAATACAATTGTTGCTCTGAAAAAGCCATTGAGGCATTCAGCAATATTGAGCTTGTAATCTAGTGCGGCAGAAGAGCGCAAAGCTCTGCTTTCTACATTCCATGTACGTCTTTGTTTAGGGAAAGCATCGCCACAGGAATTTGATGCACGTCAAATTCAAGATGCGCTGGTCAAGCAGATGGAGAGCGCCAGCTCAAATCTGATGCTCAATTTTTGTTCAAGGGGTAATCGCACGGTGGAACATTCATTCATGAAAATCAGGCACGGAGAGTTCAGCCTGCGTTGTGGAGGGAGTGATGTTTGTTGATTTCCATTTGCTGACTAAGAGCTTTAGTTCTCTGGTTGTCTTCAAAGCAAGTGCATTTTAAATGGACTTGGAGAGTGCAGCTAGTCAGTGTGAGGTAGGTACGCACAACAAGATACAACCAATTCTACAGAGGCTGTAACTTCCTGCTCTTGAGTGCCTTGGAGGTTGTTTGACATTCATTTGTCATGCGGAGGTGAAGTTGGCCTATGTAAGTCTTCAAGTTGGAGATGGTTAAAATGATCGCGGAAAACTTTTCCGAAGGAGGATTTATTTGCAAGTTTTGTGTAAGTGGTGTCAATCCTGCATTAAGTTCTTCAGTTTTATCGGATCAGTTTTACAGTCAAAGTTTGCAGTAGGAATCTTTCTAAATTGTGCACCTTACGAGTTGCGGAAGTGTGAAGATAGTAGAGAATAAGAGTCAATATTTGCAAATAAGTGAGTTCATTTTTGGAGCAGAGTAGAAGAGTTGAAACGACAAAACTTCTGCTAAGGGCATTGTTAAAGGAAGGAAGTTAAGGAAGTTATAAACACACCTTGAAGTCTGTTTGGTGATCGGAAACTCCTTACTGACATGTCATGGCTGAACTAACTGAAGTCAAAACGGAGCGAGGCTATTTCCACTTTCAAAAAGATTTTGCTGGATTTCTGGAAGTTCATCCTTTTTGTTCAGAGATGTAAATAGCGCAGTGGACTGGAGGAGCGTGGTTTTTTTCTCTAAGTGTAGCAATCTGAAGCCAGACCCTAGAGGAATGTTGTGCTGGACAATTTTGTGGGTTCGATTGTCCAGTGGTTTGCCCTCCTCTGCAAACCTCTGACAAGCTCTGAATTTCTCTTACCAGAGATCCAGGACAAACCAATTTGAAACCTAGGAAAGTGCCATATATCCAACCATGTGTTACGCGCATGAAGCGATGTCAGTCGAACTATATGTCCGGCACAGAATCCATGCTTCAGCTTTGCGTGTGGAAGTCATGCCATCCTTTGAGAACCACTTGAGACAGTCTGAAGAAAATATTACCGCAATATTGAATAAGATTACAGTATTCTCTGTTGTGGTATCCACAAGTTCAATATCTTCATCACAATGACCTTAGTGGCAAGGCAATTGAAGCCGTTAGGGATTTGGAATGAAGACTAGCGAAGGTATTGACGTGCCCAATCCAAATTATTGATCTAAATCTGGACTCCCGAATTCTACGGGTTTTTGAACAGATCGAAGTCCTTCGAGAGGACTTTAAGTTGTGCGATTACTCTGGAAGGTGTCAATACGAAAATTTTGTTCTTACCTTGTGGTTTTACTGTCGGACTTCATGACAAGATTTATAAATTTTTTCAATTTATTACAGGAAATGAAAGAAAATGAGTTAATTCTTCTGTTTTTCTCAACTTGAAGCTTGACTATTTTGGATGAAGCAAACTATCAAATCACTAGGGAGTATAAAAGATCAAACTACATAGACCATTTACATGATAGATAGCTTATTTCCGTTTTACGCATGGTATACGAATACTTGATATCCCCTATTTTTAATATCGCACCCTTCTTAATACTTTCAATTACACCGATGAATGCATATAGCTTGGGACAGTCATGTAGCTGACAACCATGACCCCAGTTCGACCTACACTATATATATTTATTCAAAGTTGACACTATCTGCATGTATATAGTTCAGTGATCAACTTGTGACGAACAATCAGGGTAGTGTTTCAAGTGTAAAAAGGAGTATTCGAATTAAACAAATGAGCATTTAACTGAAACGATTCATTTAGATTGCATTAGTCTATATTATACCCTACCTGGATTTATTAGAGTGGAAAAGATTTATTTCATGTGTTTTCTATAGTCTCTTTCATGTGAGATCTCCGTCTCCTGGCGTGATTGCTTGAGGTTTGTCTATGAATTCACTTTGTATAAATCCCAGGTGACATGAAAGTCACATGGTAAGTACAGTCTACTAATCTTGAGTTTATATGCTATTCTTGTTCAAGATGGTTAGAATTGTTTTCAAATCCAATTAGTCAAAATCTGATTTTTTTTTAAACTAGTGTAAAACTTTAGTTATTATGATATGATGCATGCCTGATCTAAACAATGACCTCCAATATTATAAATATGTATATTTAGTATCATGAAAAGCAATAAAAGTTTAAGAAATAAATAGATAAGTTAGTATGCAGTTCTCATGATTTACTATTCTATAAATTTTTTCAAATATGAGATTCATTAAAATTACAATCATATTTCATGAACATAAATGGTTTAATTTGATATGAAGAATTATATCAATGATATAAATTGTCACGTAAAAAATAATAATTTCTATTTATATATATTGTAAGATTTCAAGATTGATCATATTATGAAATGGATTATTTTTATCACTACGCATATTTTCAGTTGAAAGTGAACTTTTTGGAATATGTTTGTGAGAAGAGCGATTTTAGTTACCATAACATCAACATACTTTAAGTACTGTCAGTCATCTCCAACTTGTGAACAAAAAATACACATCACATATAACTGATGAGCTAATTGGTGATAGTGGCCAAAGCATTTGTGTAAACATATATATTATTTATTGTGAAATATATGAGCTTTGATTTATAAGTCAATAAGTGATTCAAAGTTGGTTTATTATGAACAAAACTACAAACAATATCAAGGCTTATTTTAAAACTTAGAAACCAATGAATCTTTCTAGAATCAGTAAGGTTTGTTTTCATAAGCAATAATGATGATTTGAATATAGTCAATAGTGATATATTTAGAGAATTATTAAATACACCACAATTTTTACTAAATACATCACACAATGCACACTTGAGAGGAATGAGTGAGCGTAGGTGTGTCTGTCTGAGTGAGAGATAAACTTCATGCGCGCACCGCAGTATGATCGTGTCGTGGATGTGCCGGTGTGGTGTGGTGTGATATAATATGGTATGGTCTGTGGTGTGTGAAGCTCCCTTGTGGGCAGTCGCATGTCCGACAATATTATTCCTTCGCTCCCTCGCACGCGCAAGTAGCAAGCGAGGATCCGTTCCCTCGTGGCCTTACGAGACGGCCACTTTTTACTAAATACACCACACACCACATCGTTGTGTGTGGTTTGTGGTGTATTTAGTAAAAAGTGTGGTGTATTTAACAATTCTCTATATTTAGATACTTGGTTTTTATAAACAAAATGAGTTTAAAATCTTAATTTGCATAAAAAAACCATTTAAAGAATAATGTAAACAATTTCGTCATTTCTCATGTTGACAATATAAGTCTTCAATTTGGTATAATAATAATGTCAAAAATGATGAAGACATTAGAATTTGATTCCCAATATATTATGTTGAGATTAACTCTTGTCAAGCGTATTGTAGACTGTCGGTTGGGTTGACGGTGAACTCACATTAGTATTCGTTTGTCAGTATTGTGAACTATTTAGAAGGTGAGATCTAGCTAGTTGCTCAAACACTACATCAATCTTGTTTTTGAGTATTTTGTGATGTTTTGTTTTGCTTGTCTTGTATTTCAGAATACTATTATTAAAATTGGTCTCAGATTAGAATAAATCACAAATGCATGAATCACAAATGATTAATGAGCTATTCTATCAATTGTGAATCTATCAAAACTTTGCGAGATAACTCAACAAACAATAGTCAAGATTACTCAAAGATTTAAAATGTAGACATAGGGCTACAAGGCAAAGTTGCGATGTTTTGTCAAACATTTGATCTTGTAATCAATATAAGCATGAATTTATTAATGAAACACAACTATTTTTCATCATAAATTTGGAGAAAAACTTTGCAAGCATATGATTTTACTACAAATCAAAATGGAAATAAAATCACATTCATCTAAAACAAAAGAAAGTTTTCCAAGAATTGTAGTCATGAATGAAATCATTAATGGAATCAGAAGATGATTTTTGTCTTTTTCATAAGTAGTTGATCAAATTTGCTAATCAAGTCATAATTTTTGTTGCAAAATTAGATGCTTTGCGGCAAGCAAGGATGATTGATTGTATAAAGAAATTGATATCAAGTGGTGATGTCATTGTGATGAAAATATCTATTAGGAGGTAGTTTTTGTGCATGAATGTGCCAAGATCAATGAGTAAGATTTGCGTGCTGCATCTTGAGTATAGTTCTGAAGATTGGGTGATGCAGGACGGAATAATTTGTGTTGCGAGACAAAGATCGTTGGGGTTCACACGAAACATCATGACGTGGAGTGTTTTCAAGAATAAAATTTTTTTCTTGGGGAAGATATACAAAAATTTCTTATTTTTTCAAATTTTGTTGGACATTATTGATCTTTTTTAAGTCTTTTGAATTTCATGTAGCTTATTAACTTGTAGCTTGACGACACTAACCACTTCTTTGTAAATGTCAACTTTGTTGATTGTTGACTTATAGCAAAAAATGATGTTTTCATCTACTTTATTTTTTTATTGCTCTTTCAAGAATATGACAGATTCGATTTCACTCATATTCACAAATTAACATGTATGACAAACGTTTAGAATCTAAGTGTACATTCGAGTTTAGGCATAAATGAATAGGGAGAAAGATGATGATGTGTTAGAAATGTGGCAATAATGATCATGTCAAGAATCACTATTTTGTGCAAATCAAAGTTGTTGATCCTTGTTTAGCCAATGTGGCATGAAATTTTGACAAGAAGTATGATTTGTTGAACAATGATCTATAATGATAAAAATATGACCTATGCAATTCATCAAATCAGGTTGATCATATATGATTTTTGAAAATGTTTGTTTTTATTACATCTCTTACATCAAAAAATTCTTTTGTAATTCTTGTACTTTTTAATTTCTTATATATATATATATGATGATACAGTCAATCAAATTATATGATTGAGCGTATTGGATCTGTTTAAATCCAAATGTTTATGATATGAAAAAAAATTGATCTATTTTGAAATGTCTGATTGCCTGTGTACTGACTAACAGCTAGTCAATCATCCATGTCAACTTTTTCCAAGCTCTTTTGTACTCTAGGCTCTAGTGTATACTCCTTCAGCCTGACCATACTTTGGCACCTTCCAAGATTCCACGAAAAAGCCACTTCTGCCGAGCCAATGGACGAAGTGCTCGCGCTGAGAGCGAGTTTGTGGAATCAGTGCCCTCCCTCACTCACTTTACACGTAAGTCTTTTCTCCTCCTCGACTAAGATACTCCAAACCCTTATCCCCATAGTGCTTTCTTACAACACATGCACTTCATGGGATCGGTACGCCCTTGTACTATTGCCTCTGGCTTGCTGCCTGTACTCTACTTTCCTTCACCCCATGAATCAATGAATGTCAAATCCTTGGTAGGCTACGCTAATGCTAACTATGAACAATATCTAGATAAGAAAAATTTACAATTGTTATGTGTTTATACTGGTGGTGGATGCTAACTATGAACAAGATTCAGTTTAGAAAAATATTACAACTTATATGCATTTATACTTGGTGATGAATGCTAATTATGAACAAGATCTACATAAGAGAAAATTTACAATTGGTACGTGTTTATACTTGGTGATGGATGCTAATTATGAACAAGATCTAGATAAGAAAAAATTTACAATTGGTATGTGTTTATACTTGGTGATGGATGCATTTGTTATAAAACTATCTTGCAAAAATGCGTAAGTTATTCCATAACGTATGTAGAGGCAATAGAAGCACCAAAGGAAGCTATCTAGTTAAATAAATTTACCATTGA